TTAAATCACTCCAACTGAAGCAGCTTGGGGACAGAACACGAAACTTTGCTTTCTGCACTATTGCACAATGAGCTCTTGTGGTGGGACTTTCCTATAACACTCACTATTTAAGATGCCTTCATTGGAACTACTACCATTCATGTAAGTAAAACTTAATAAAAATGTTGAATCTGTATTCCTGAGGTGAGATTACTGACTACCTTTGGTTATGGCCTCCTTCCCTTTTCCCTCCCATATAGCTGCCTCTGCTGGCTTTTATTTATTTATTTTTTTTGAATGTGACCCTTTTGTCACTTATATGTTACTGTTGTGAAAACCAGACATGAGTTCCTTCGGCTGTGCTGTAGACTTATTCCAGACAATTTCCTTGAGATACTGGCCAACAGCCAACTACAGAAGAGCCTCAAGTCCGCTTTCTGTGCTTAAATAAACAGAAAGAGTGACCCGGCTCTGCACCTTATTCTGCTGTACTTTCCCTGAATGAATAAGCTGGGTCCTTTTGTAAAAACAAAAGCAAAAAAAAAAGCCTTAAATGACCCTTAAGTGCTCAGTCAGCCTCTAATGATTAACCTTTTTTTTAAATGAAGGAAGCCGAGGGAGTCAAAATGTTGGCGTGAAAAGCAGTAACTCCGATAGCCAGCTTGACTAAGTCAGGGGAATATGGCTTTTCATACAATCCTTTGGCTCTGTTATTTTTGCCAGGCATTTTCCCCAGAGGCTGCTTTCCCTCATGGGAGGCGGAGGGAGAGATGGGACCCCAGGCTTCTGTCAAGGGAAAGGTGAATATGGGGAAATCACCGAGGTGGTGATCGGGAGAGGGAGGGAGGCATTTAATTGAGATGAAATACTGTATAACTGTTTTTCATTCTAGCAGGATACAGTGGGAAAGGCCAAAAAAGAAAGCCTGCCTCTGTGGTGGAGATCCCCCCACAAAAAACGGAAGAAAAAGAGTAAAGCAAGAGCAGGAAGACCAGATTTTACTAGTATTCCAAGCAGGTGAAGAAATCTTGAAACTGACAAGAAAAAAACTGGCTCTTGTCTGTATATAATACCTAAATCAAGTAGTGAGAAGTTAATCAGAACCAACACACTCAATAGTCCTCAGATTCTTTTTAAAGCTTTGTGAATTGAAAAGATGCTCATCACATAGCTAAAAAAACAAACAAAAAATAAAAAAGGCAGTTGTACAGAAGTGTTAAATTTAGTTAGTAACTTTCAAAGGTTCAGTGGATACGAACTGGAAAAAAAAATCCGAAATGAAGTAAGTCAAAAAAAAGCAGTAGGCAATTTTGTTCGACAAGCATCTGGAGAACTTCTGAGCGCGATGGCTGCATTTGGCCCACTGGGGTTGATTACTGCTTCTCAGAAGGTTTCTTAATTTTACCTTCTTGGTGTTACATAAAATGTGATTTTCTGTTGGACCTTTTTTCTTCGGTGCTGAAGGTTTTGCTACATTCTGCATTATATAAACTTCACTGGAGGATGCATGCTGAAAATTCACAACTGCCTTGCCAATGTTAGAAAGCCAAGAAGCCTATTAATAGCATCACAGTTGGGATATGAATCAGAAATGAAGGTCATTGCAAGATATTGGCAAGCATCATTTGTTTTCATAAATTAATCTGGAGTTTTATTTAATGTCATAGAAACAAGAAATATAGTTTCTAACTAGATTCAAAGTATCACAAGTTAGTTACCGAATTTTCTATTTGACAGGAGAATTAATGATAAAGCTATTTGAAGGTTACTTGTTCTTCAGCCTTCAACTAAATGGAGTATGTAGATAGGATGTATGTATTAAATTGGCATTATTTAGTATGTTTGCTGACATTAAGCTAAAATGTATGTATGTGTGTGTGTTTACTGTTTGGTTCAAAACAACATTAATACTTAATAGTGTTTTGGAGAATGCTTGGTTAATCTGAAATATAAAAGGCATGGTTCTGTTGTATATGCTTCTATTACTTGATCACTTTGTCTTCTATTTAAGTTAGAGTTGGGCATGTAAAAATACATCTTCGTGTTAGATACACAAGTGCTAAACAACTCATAAAAAGACATCAAAATATTTAACAAGCTGATAGGAGTAGAAAGTTTCAAACAGTTCCAATTATATAAGCAAAACAAAATAGAATTAGTAGATAACTTAAAATGTAGGGAGGGTGTTTTCTTTTTTTTTCTTTTTTAATTTTAAGGGGTTCAGATTAAATGCATTTCCTGCTAATTTTGAACTGAGAAAGTTGAACCTGTTTAATATTTTAATGACATAGCCATCAAAAAATCCCAAGCTGTAGCTAAATTTGAGAATTCAAACAAATTCCCAGAATAAGGGAGTGGCAAATTATTTTTGTATAATTTTAAGACACTTCATAGATGAATCCATTTACCAGGGCANAATGATAAGTGGGATATAAACGGGGCGAGAGCTTGTTAGCATATGAATAGGTTCGCATGTACGTGCTAACATGTTCGTGCCTACCTCCGCGCGTGCGCATAACCCTCTACCTTTTGAATCCCCCCCCCTTTTAAAAAAAAACCTATTGCAACTTGGAGTTTTCTCAATTAAAGATTGTAATCTTCGGCGTCGGTGTTTCAGAGGGAGCGTTATCGAAATGATTTGAGGTTTATTTTCCAACGACGAAGCTTAGCATTACAACTGTGCTACGTTTAAAAATGGCCTTTTAATTTGAGTTGGTGTTAAGTAGGGACAGCTCCATTGGTGGTGAAGGTTTCCCCCCACCTCATAATTCCATATTCAAAAGTAAGTGGTGGCAGATTAAAAATAACAGGGCTTGATCAGAGAGAGAGAGAAAGAGAAATAAAAACACCTCTGTCTAAAAACCCTCTTTCCCTAGTTTTGAATAAAAATATATTTAAAAACTAAAAATATCAATGCAGAAATGAAAAGTAACCATTCAAAAGTCAGTTCCTGTTTTTCTCGGAATGCAAAAAAATCATATTCATATGAATAATCATATTCCAATGATTTTCTAATTTAAAAAGAATGAAAAATTGCCACCTTTATTTTGGGCCATTGGGATTTTGTATTCTTTAAATGTATTTGAAATTTGGCAGATTAATTTTTTTTGTCCTTGAAAAAAAGATTTTGGCACCTTCCAGTGATTGCAAGCTGAGACATGATTATAAAAAAATCTGCCCCTTTGCTAAACCAAAACCAAATCATATTAAGTTGGATGTTAGAACGAGATGTGTAAATATTTATTATAATCTATTTTTTACCTATTAAGTTCAATACAGATTGTGTTATGAAACAGTTTTTTTTTCTAATTCTTATACTATTTGTTTTTATTGTAGTGAAATCACAAGTTCTTCAACAACCTTTGCGGAAGAAAGTCCTGCTGATACTTCAGTTTAGATGATTAAAGTAACTGGAGGCAAGATCTCAGTTTGTTCTGGTACTTGCCACCTTCTGCAGCTAAATTCTTTTAATTTCTTAAGTTTGTATATTTGACACATTGGTAAGTAGTAGCAGAAATTGTATTTATAAAATGCGAAACTGATGGCTTTTACCATTTCTGTAATGAACCAATACCAAGCTGCCCTTACCTGGAGAAAATAGATCTAACTCAGTTATAATTTTATATTTTAAGAACTGCAGTTTTATTGTAAATGATTTTTTTATACTAATGTATTTAGGCCCCATATTATTAAATGCTTAGTTGGGGATTGTTTATTAAATGAAGACAATATAAAATTATAATTTGGTTCAGAGTTAAGTGTTTTTATAGGAAGCAAGGTACAGGTAGTCCTCACTCTTAATGACCCAATTGAGATTGGAATTTCTGTTGCTATATGAAGCAGTTGTTAAATGAAACGTGACTGCACTGCTTAGAGATGACAGTTCTGGTGGTGCAGTTGTTAGTCGAGGCCTCATCTTTCTGTGACTCTCACCTCCACTTCACCAAATCCCATTTCTCTTTTGGTTGCCCTGCCCTCTGGTACCTTCCCTAATGGCTACTCCTAACCTTCACTGCTTGCTGAAGGGGAAGCTTCATGAAAGCCAGCAGCTACTTAGGGAAAATATAACTGAAGGTCGGGGGCAGGGAGTGCAGAGACTATAGAACAGACATGAGGAGAGTTCAAGTGCAGTTGCAAATGCACATGGGCTGCCAATGCCAAACCTAAATTTTGATCACATGACCCCAACAGCACTGGAACCGTTTTGACCACCGTTTCAGTTTAACACTCTTATTAAGTTGTAGATAAAATACAAAAGTAAATCTGAAGACACGGAGGCGGGGGGAGAAAAGTGAGAAACAGGAAAAGAAAAGAAATATTTAGTTCTGACTCCCTCTGTTGCACTAAAAAAAACATTAACATCAAACAATAACTTTTTGTATTCCCATAATAACATAAACTAGCCATTTCTATAACGTATCAATCTAATTGGTAAAATCCAAAATCAAAGTTTCACTTTTTTCCACTTCAAGCACAGAGTTCATATGGAAACAAAGGTACTTATATTCTTTAACCAAAACAATCAATTTAGCCANTTCAATATTTCCTAGGATATTTCATTTTTTCTGGGAGAGGGCTGGGTGATAACATCCTACAATAGTATGTCTTGAGCTAATTTCTAATGATTTAAAAAACCACATCACATCAAGATATTAGTTGATATGAATTGTAATGAGTCTTTTTTTAAATCATACAGTATTTTTTTGATTTTATTGATTTTTTTATTTTACTTTATTTGTATGCCGCCCTTTTCCCTGGGGGGACTCAGGGCGGCTCACAATTCAAGGGGAGGGAGGAATAGACAAGTTACAAATATGAAGACAATACACAGTTAAAAAGCACAACAGTCATACCATTCGAGTGGGGATACAACTTTGGATTCTTAAAACACTTGAGATTCTAAATGGCAATTGCCACATATAGAATTTCTACTTTTCTTTTTAGGTTCAATACTTTTAAGCTTTTTAAAAACGCCAATAATTTAATTTTATTATAGAAACTTTACTGCATTGAAATCATACCATGTACATGTACATCACAATAAAGAAAGGGGGGGGGGGGTCTTGGTTCCTTCAGGTGACAACTGAGGGCTCCGAGGAAGCAATGTTTTATTGCTTCCAAGCAGGCGTCCTTTAAAACTCCGGCCAAGTTTAAATTGGGAATCCCCGTTTTGAGGTTTCTTCCGCTATGGAGGTTGGAAAAACCCCTAACTTTCTAGCAAACCCTCTTTAGACCGTCCTCTTTGAAGGTGATCTGAGCTAAAAGGCTGACAATACATTGCCCTATTTTTTTTTGTTTGTTTAAAAAAGAACTGCCGCCAACGACGTTGTCCCGCACAACGATCTCTGCTCGGAAGGAGGCGAGGCGAGCCGTGAGGGGGAAAAACGTGTCCGGGCGACTGCGCGGGAACGTCCCCCCTCCCCCCCCCGTGAGACCACGTCCGGAACTCACGAGGCGGAGCCGAGCACGAGCCACGCCGCCAAGGCTTCTGGGAAGGGAACTGAGCAAGACGAAGGTTGAGCTCACGCGCTTTCCCCTGCCCTTGCGCACGCGTTGGCAGCTCGCGACTTTGGCGTAGCTCGCGTAGCGTGCGGCCCGCGTGGTGAGTATGAAAGACCTGTCAGCGACTGAAAACTCTCGCCTCTTCTGTGCCCCTTTCCCTTATTTTTTAAAAAAACTTACCTCGGTCGGTTGTATGGAGAACCCGAACAGAATCTGTTCGTAACATCCTCCCAGGACCTCCATTTCTCGGCCTCCCTTAGCGACGCCTCTTTAGCGCGGGGTCCTTTTTTGTCTTGAGTTTGTAGCGCGGCCTCCTAAACCGCCTGTCCGTTTTTTTCCCTCCTCGGGGGGGGAGGTGTCTACTCCACCGCCTGAAGCCAGGAGCCCGCTCTCCGTTTCCAGATTGATTCTTTGAATTTCTTTTGTCGTTTTGGAGCGGGAGGGAGAGGCAGGAACGATTCGTTTAAANCAACTCATAAAAAGACATCAAAATATTTAACAAGCTGATAGGAGTAGAAAGTTTCAAACAGTTCCAATTATATAAGCAAAACAAAATAGAATTAGTAGATAACTTAAAATGTAGGGAGGGTGGTTTTTTTTTCTTTTTTAATTTTAAGGGGTTCAGATTAAATGCATTTCCTGCTAATTTTGAACTGAGAAAGTTGAACCTGTTTAATATTTTAATGACATAGCCATCAAAAAATCCCAAGCTGTAGCTAAATTTGAAAATTCAAAAAAATTCCCAGAATAAGGAAGTGGCAAATTATTTTTGTATAATTTTAAGACACTTCATAGATGAATCCATTTACCAGGGCATAACCCCAATGAGCAAATAAAAATAAAATGCAATTTTATTAAGTGCCCCAATAACTGTTACATTTGTTGTGTTTGGTGATTCTGAAGTAATTGTTGAGAAACAAGTTTTTAAAATGGTACCTTCTCTCATAAATACTGGTGGTAGTATTTATGAATTACAGAAAGCGCAAGGCCAATTATATTATCCATGATCTGCCTATAACTGATATTAGCACTAGCCAAGTTTATCTGCATAGGATTAAGTGGATTTCTTCAGTCTGGTTGCTTAAAAAAATTAAGAGGAATATTGTTCAGACATGATCAAGATATTTTTTTCTGTGTATGGTGCTAGTCATGCACCATGAATAAGGACACAAGTATTGGCTGGATCAATCCTAGGTAGGTATTCTGAGTTACGTACACCGGAAAGTAATCTAGTGGAGACAGGGTTCTGAGGTTTACATTGCAAGATGATTAATCATGTTTTTTCTTCTAATTTCTTCCAGGCCAGAATTTGTAAGGCAAGAATTTGTTAGGGCAGAATTTTCCAGGCCAGAATTTGCAATATTTGTAGGAGAGTTAACTCCTGAAGTGGATGACTTTTTGCTGTTTGACTATTTTTTTAAAAAGTATCCATCATGTATAGACTGTAAAGTGGCCACAGATCTGCTGGGATATTCCAGGTAGCCCATTATGAATTAAAATATTTGTGTGTGCATGCATATGCAATACAGATTTGTCAATCACATCAAAAACCTAAATATTGTGTTTTCTCAAATTTTTTAAAGTCAGAGATACAGTAGAACCTCGGGTCACGGACTCTTCTGACCACGACCAAATCGGGCGCTGACCAAAAATTCCACAAATTTCTTGCATCTGGTCGCAAACAAATACTTGGGTGGCGATCAAACACAGCCATGCCAATTTCCCCTGCCACACCATTTTTTATGTGCATGCAGTCAGTCTTGCTTCCAGTCACAACTAAATTGGGTTGTGACCGAAGTCCTAGAACGGATTACGGTTGTGACCGGAGGTTCCACTATAGTTGAATCAGCATTGTCCTGAATTCTTATTTTTTAATGTTATATTAAAAATAATGTGGTACTCTGATATATGAATGAAGAATATAATTTTATTGAAATACATATTTTGGGATGTCTTCTTTACATCAGTTAATGCTTTAGAAAGAGGCTCTGTCAGACCTGCTCCAGTCCTACTCCTTAGGAAAGAAAGACCCTTGACTTCATTTGGTTGAAGTGGTAGGCTCTTTTACTAAAAGATGCTGGCTGTAATAAAGTCCGGCTAGAACTAAATTTTAGTGCTCACTCAAAACAGAAAGTTCCCCCATATCCCAGCCCTCCCCCATGTATTTAGCCAATAAGAGTCTGCCTAGGTGTTTTGAGAAAGCTGAGATGTTTAGGATAATCATTTTTTCTCAGGGTGCATGGCCTTGGGTGCTGGCACAAACTGGTTCCTAGCTCCTGCTCTTCATCAAGCTGTCTTTCCCCCCTCCCAATTTTCCCATCAAAGTACACATGCAGCTTGATTGGCCATTTGTTGTCATCCCCAATGCTTCCCCCCCCCCCTTCAACCCTTGATGGAAGTACAGGCGCTTCTTATAAAACTCAGATGAGATAATTTTATAACTGAATGCAAAATGCATGAGAATAGTTTCTCGTATTTGAAATGGTTCGAACATATTGTAGAAATGGGCACATGTTAATCGGGATCAGGTACAATTAAATGGTATTGTTTTTTTTATAAATGGTATGAAATCATTTTCTTTAGCAGAATTAATGTCACTGATTTTTGAAAATGTGGGCACTCTTGGACTCCGGTTGGGTTAACATGCCCTAATGTGTTTAAATTATATTCTAAATAACCATTCGCAGTGCAGTAAAAATATAATTGATAATAAAATATTGTGTGTGCTTGTTTGGCAATATTATTAAAGTTTGTCTTTCAAAACTCCTCAGAGGTTATGGTTTCGTCAGATTTTCTGATGAAGGCGATATGATGAGAGCACTGCAAGATTGTCAGAATGCACCTGGTCTAGGCGGAAAACGAATCCGATTGACTTTAGGAATTTCTAAAAGGTAGTTGATGCGAAATTAACACATCTCTTGGGTTTCAGATCTCTTATGAAATTGCCATTATATCTGCTTAGGAAAGGATTTAATTTCTTAAAAATAATGTTTCTCAAAATGTTTTGCTTTGCTTTTCTAATAATACAGTTGTTATGAAACTATATCAGTCAATATATAAGCAGGTCAGTTTCTGGTTTTCTTTAACAAGTACTGAATTAATACACTTTAATTCTTTGCAAAATTACATTGTGTCAAAGCATGCATATAAGTAACCAGGGTCTGTAACTTGTTCCACCAGGGGTTTGGATGTTCTAAGTTGTTCTACTGCCACTTGGATCTACTTCTCCTCTTCCTTAATGATATTTGAATTTCTCTGCTTGCTTATTTTTATTCTGACTGGATAAAAATAAAATAGTAATGTCATATTTTTATGTATATATCATACATATGAATTTTCAAACTTTGTTGTTTCCTTTTAAAGTTCATAATTTTAGAATTAATTCTATGATTACTTACCATTTACATTAAGGAAACAATGTATACCTAAACAAAACATAAAACCCTTTTTGTCTCCAAAATTCAACGGATACTTTTCATTTAAGAAAAATACAGCATATAACTATAGTTCTTAAACTCTGCTGCTGCACTCAAGACACCACAGCAAATTCCAAGGGTACAGCAGGATATTTTAATGCAGTACTTAAACAGAATTGTTTGTTTGCTATGGCATCCCAAGATGTTGCAATGCACAATTTGGAAACCTTTAGAGGTACTGTGGTTCAAGAAAGTTTGGGAACCTCTTATACAATTTTTTTTTCCACAATGTATTCTCTTAAATGTCTAATTTGATCTGCATAAATAGTTTTGCTTATATGTGTGCCAAGCAAAGTTAACTTGGATGAAAGTAAATGGAAACAGAAGAAATAGGAGAAAGTAGATTTTATGCTATTTGAAGTAACAGTAGTATTATCTCTGGCAACTTTTTTTTAAAATAGGATTTTCACTATTCAGTTGTAAACAATGCTCTTAAGAAATTCTGACTTAATCTTCTCCCTTTGTGTTTTAGACTGAAAGCAGAATTTCAAAGATACCAGGCCTATAGTTATAATGACTATTACCAAGACTATCAAAACTATTACCGCCAGTACAATTATGATAGAAATGAACGCTATGACCGATTTGATCGCTTTGACCGTTTTGATCGAGGTAGCCGTTTTGGTGATCGTTTTTCTGAACGGTACCCTGAGCATTTTGGTGATCGTTTTCCTGAACGTTACGCAGAGCGATTTGCTTCTCGTTTTGGTGAACGCTATGAATATCCTGAGTATGGAGATTATCCTGAATATGCAGATTATAATGCTGACTATAGTGATTATAATTATAGTTACGCATCTTATGAAAGAATGCAGCCTACTGGAAATATGGGACAACAAGCAATGAATCCAGCTTTATTTCAGGTATTCACATAAATCAAATTAAAGTAAATTTTTCTTAGGGGTGCCTTCATGACCCTTTGCCTTTCAAAAGTGTTGGAGTTTAACTCTCATGATTCCTAGTTTATTACTGAAAATTATTGAAAATTACAAGTTATATATTTCTGGAAACACCAGGGTTTCTAAATATTTTTTAAAAAAATGTTTTAAATGTATTGGCTGCTTTTCTGTATCTTCAACTGAAATAACTTAAAATGGAGACATTGAAAAGGTTCTGGATCAATGGTTCTTAGGCCTATATTTTTGTAAGATGTTTGAATTTAAGATAGTGATGTACATTTCTTCTTTTAAAAGGGGTGTTTTGCTCACTTGTGTAACTGTTACAGTGAGTATGAAACCACTAAAAAAATTGAAGATAATTTGACAAAAGTCAAAGATAAGCTTTTGATAAACACTGCTCAACATTTTCCCTCATCTAGGCAAAATAATTCCTATACCACATTCTCAATCCACCC